AAAAAAAATATTATAATTTGAAAAAAATATATTTTATTTTAATTACTGGTCTGACTAATATAAAAACATTATTGTTCCCAATTCGTTGTAATATTATTAAAAGTTCTTCCAAGTTTTTGGTATAGTTGGACGATTTTTTAGTGATTTTAAATTCGAACGAACATTTTATAATCATAAATGCCGTTTTGGTTATTGTGTGATCCCTCTAACAATTCATTAGTCTAGAAACCAATATTAATATCAAAATACAATTCAACAATAAAATATAAGAATAATCTAAATTACAATGTTTAAATAAACTTTTTAATAAAAAAATTTTAGAATTGTTAATCATATCCAATGATCTAAAGACTGGCTGATGACCCTTTGATAATGTGGAACAGTTGAATTGATAATAAAATTGTCGAAAAGGAACGCCATGGAAAAAAAAATAATGCCAAGAAAAAAAAACAATAGTGCGTAACAGTAAACAATTCTGCGACTCGTGACATATTTTTGGCGATCTTATGCTTTTTGATCCATGATGTCACTTTTTCAACAATTCAGATAAAAGTCCTATTCGAGAATAATAAAACGGTGGATTGATGACAGCTTTATCATAAATAAATACGTCAAAAGAAAATCTTCTATCAAAAAACAAAGTTCATAATGAAATTCAATCTTCTCTTGTTGGCTATGTTTGCTGTTTTTGCTTTGGCAAAACCTTTAGCAAAACCTCCTTTTGGCTATTATGTGGAAAGAGCCTTTCCTTGCGATGATGTTTGTCTAGTTACTTGTGGAGATTGCTGTTGTGCTGCCTCCAAATGCAGCAAAGGTCCTGTTTGCAAAGCTGCAACGTGCTCGGGAGTCTGCAGCCAAACGTGCACTCTTATGTGCGGCGAATGTAACTTTAATTGTCAAGGTTGCGTCGGTACTCCTCCAATTTGTAAATCTTGCACTGCGGTCTAAGGAATAGATAACGTCTATTGAAATTGGAATAATCATGTACTTAATGTTATATTGAAACGCACTGTATATTATTTAGTTTTTAAAAATGTATAATAAGTGTCAGTAATTATATTTGATGGTTTTTATTATTTTAGGTTTTCATTTTTATATATATATATATATATATTTTTATTGAGAAAAGAAATATATGTAAATTTACCTTTCAAAAGATATAATAAAGTTTCACCCACATTGATTTTGATTCTTTTAATTATCGATTCCATGATAAATTTGGAACAATGGGTAACAATGAGTTCGAATGAACTATTACGAAAATTTAATTTATTCTTGTTATTTAAGCTTTTTTCGAAACAGGAATAATTCGGCATACGATAATGTTACATGCTCGTACAAAATAGCTTAATATTTCTCTATCAATGTGATTGTTTATTTTTTTTAATTTTCCGATTTTCTTATTATTTTTATTATTCAATTTTCGTAATTGCGCAGTTTTAATTAATTAGAGTTTATTGATTGGCCATTTATATAGTTTAATATATTGACATTGCGAAAGTGTTGAGCGACGAAGTTGGTGCAACACTGATAAATTTGATATCATTAAATAAATTTAGCGTCTACATTACTTCATTTTTACTCAATAAAAACCTTCTGCTTACATTACAAAATTGTTTATAAATACATAATAAAAAGAACTGAACACATCGCAATTCTATTTGGAATTCTACCAATATGGCACCTTTAACATATTAGCTCGTTCTTGACATTGTTCTAAATTTTACAGAGTTAATCTGTCTCTTCGGGCAAAACTATATTAAATGTAACCATATGTTGTTTCTTATTTACGATGCTTTTTTATTTTTGATTATTATTATTATATACAGTGGTACCGGAAATTATTTGGAAATTTTTAAATGACAATTTCTCAAAAACTAATAATTCGTTTATTATAAAATTTTTTTTTAATTAAAAGTACAATAGTAGAAAAATATAAAAATA